CCAACACTGGCTGTTAGCTCAGCGTAACGCAACATCAGAAAAGTAGCGCTGGTATTCTTCCAATAAAGATACTGAGAGACGGTGAGCTGTCAGGATATTTATCGCGACGAGAAACGGAGACAGTGTATAAAAATAAAAATGCGTAGTTTGTACACACGGGTTTATTTTTAACAATACATTTCAAGAAAGCTATTTGAATGAATACAACTTATTGTAATACAACCCGTTATTGGGGAATATAGCTACTAAAACACCTTACATTAAACCCAATTTAGAGACCGCTGTTTTCGACAATATCCAGTAAAAAGCTAGAAAGGGAACAACTTCACAGACCCGTAGCGACACTTAATCAATCAAACGTTCGACAATCAGATAACTTGACAAATCCTATCTCTCTGAGGCTTTGTCGCAAATCTTTGCTTGGACCTAAGTAATTTGTAATTTTACGAGGAAATATTGGGTCAATCAAATTTAAATTTCGTTTAAAAGTAATGAGATTATTCCCGCGATGTTATTTTCAGTTCTGAATATAATTTACAGCGACAACTTTTGTTTTTTAAACCTAAAAAAAAAAAAATATTCCAAAACATTATTTTTTGAAAATTCATAGTATAGTTCTGACCAAACACATTCAGCCCAATTACTATTTCATTTTCTAATTGATGAAATCTTTGTGTTTTATAATAATTTGAATTATGTATAACTGGTGCAAGTAATTTTTGTGTAAACACTAGAGTTTTTACAAGAAGTTGTCGTATCTAATTCTTTGCAGCTTCTTCGTTTCTAGGGCGTTAACCCAAGCTGGTTCTACTTTTCGGGTCTTAAAAAGTGCTATTCCTAGATATCTCCTGTTTGGCGCGGTACGGCACACCGTGTGGTTGTTGGCCAGTTTCGCTCCTAAAGACTTTAAGGAGTGAAAATGAGAGATGATTAATTTTCCAATTTCTTTCAATGCATGTTTTATTGCATTTATTTATTCATACACAGAAAAAATACAGATGACTATTACTATGAGTGCGCTCTCATTGTTCTCGACGTGTACCTTTATCGCCTATGGCACATGTTTACCTTAGTACACGCATCAAATTTTAAGTTAATAAATCTTAACCGGTTTTGGGGGACACAGATTGTAATGTCATGTTCACAAATTAAGTTGAAGTAAAACAATAAAAAAAACAACAATTAAATAAAATCTGTAATAATGTGTACCAATTTCTAATGAATTAATTTATTATTATTACCTATTGGAGACCTTCTCTCTTCGGTCTGTATCATTAACAGCCTTTAATAGTCCACTGCTGGTCCTTAGAAAATAGGTTTTGGCCTACTATACCACGCTGGCCAGACGGGTTGGTATAGGGTTTGTGTCAAGTTTTCCTTCTCTTTGCAGTGCTGTTGTCCTGCACAGTTTGCTCCCTTAGTCGGCTCATACGACACCCACGGGATGAATTGGGGTGGTGACACTCCGTATTCTTAATCCGTCACCACACGGACAACTTCAGTCTGTATTTACAAGATAATACTCCATGACTATATCAATTTACTGAATTTTGATTTACCCTCTCACCGAATACTGACTGGCTTTGAAACAGTTATGTCAAAATCCTTCAACAGAAACAAGCCTGACATGACAGCCACGGCCGTGCCGTAGCTGTCGGAGGCTAGCCGATACCGATACTCACTAGTAGCTAGTCTACACAGTGCTAAATGCTGATTGGATAGTTCGTAATCCTGTAGTAAACAGTGTTCGCTTACTAAAACGGTTTGATCACAGACAGAAATCTGTCTATGATATTATTTAGGGTTCCGTAATAAGGATTAGGGTGGATTAAAATTCATGGCTTACTTCTGACTTTGTCTCTTAGATAAATAATTAATCTTGACTGGATCTTTGTGCTAAATTAGAATTTGAATATTATTTAAAGGGTTGAAAATTATTAAGATATTGATATAAGATTATTATTATTAGATGTTCTTCGGATTAAGCCAGGCGTGACCAAGCGTGGTAATCTTATTTTCTATTGAAAATATAATTTAACATTAGTAATCCTAGTCCACCCACGGGATGAATAGGGATGGTGATTTTCCGTATTCTTAATCCGTCACCACACGGATTTAAGTGGAAAGAGCTAATCTATATAAAATTTTGGACCCTCGGCGGAAGGTAGACTCTCATGACTTTCTCATATCAATATCTCCTTGCTGTTTCGTTTAATTATTTGGGATCGGTGCAATAACATTTATTTTTTCAGACTTAACTATAGTTGTTCAGCTCACTGCTTACTCCTTTTCAATGCATATCCTCTTTTACGCAATCCATCCATCTTTTCTTTTAGATGTCCTTATATCCGCAAAGATAACTGAAATGTATACAGTTAACTGAAATTTAAATGTGGAATGTAAATACATTTTACACTAAAATTTCAGTAAACTGCAATCAGCAATTCAACTGCCAAACGTGGTGATTATGGCGAACCCCTCAATTTGCGACTGGAGCCCGTAGACAATTGAACGTTTATGTACTGTGAAGGCAATAGGGAAACAATGATTAGCATGGAATAGCAACATTCAGTGTATAACTTCTATACATAGTCTGTTGTATCCTACTAATAAGTACAGTGGTGTCTGACTTCAGTTTTCACGGTAAATTTATTGAAGTTGTCAGCACTCAGCAGTGTCTTAATATTGGTGTTCCAATTGAGGTGATGATCAAAATCAATTTGACAGTAATTTTCAACGTATTATTTTTGTATTTATTTGCATAGCTATCAAGGATCAATAATAAAATCAACACTTAAAATTAGAAAAGAAAGCTGAGCAAGAAAAGGTTTACTAAAATGTTACAAATATTATTATTGATAACTGTTTATAAAAGTAGAATTGTGATGTGTGTAAACATGTTAAGGTTTTTTACGAGCAAAAATTATTTATTTCCAGTAGGTTTCATCGAGTTTTATTAGATCAGTAAAACCATACACACAGAAAAGCAATTTTGCTGAGTCCTTACGACTTTTGATAATTTAAAGATACCTCAGACGAGCTATGAGCTTATTGCTTGGTTGCATAATTCAATCTTATAAATTTATAGCTTAATCCTATAACGTTTTAAGCTCATACATATAAATAAAGTTTGAGCCAATTCAATACTGGCCTAAATAATTAATCTCTTAGAGAGTGATTGATTAACTCTAGTATCTAATCTATCGTATCAAGTATCCATCGTAAGTGGAGCAAGTATTTTTAGAAGAAAAAAATCCATTTGAATCGATCCGTGACCTCCATATGGGCTTAGTAGATCACCAGTTTTTAATACTTTTAGATTAAGTTTATCAATGTTCAATTAATCAATCATTTTCGCCATGTTCGTAATTGGCTTCGTAGTATTTATTTATATTTAAAAGTCTTTGCAAGTTATCATAAAATTCTGAGTAGTTATTCTGAATGCACAGTAGAACCTTTATCCTTTTGATTAAAAATACCTACATCGAGACAAATTATGAACGTTACAGTCAAAGAAAACAATTTTTAAGTACCACATAAGCTCAGCGCTTAAGCAAAACTTTATTGACCGTTGTTATTGCCGTGGGAGAGCGCATAAGGGCCGGATCGACCGGAGTTACCAAGGCCAATGAAAACCGAAGTAAGTCAAGTGTTAAGTAATTCTTTAGTTGGATTTTACTGAGTGAGTTATGTTACCGGAGTACCAGAGATACAATGACTCCACCTCCCCCCCTTTCCCGCTGGTGTCCATGAGCAGCGGTAGTCACTTACTAACAGGTGACCCGTCTACTCGTTTGCTACCTATACTAGAAAAAAAAACCTACTTCTTATTTTCTTAACTTGCGTACTTAGTTTGGATGGCAATACTATAATTTAGCATTCTAGAGCTGATTTATTAAGAAGCGATGAGATGGATATTTAATATTTAATACATTATTACTTCCATAATGTAAATACATGGGTGACAACAATTCAAGCGGCAACAATTATATACCCTTTTTTTTTTTTTGCCATGCGGAAATCCCCTCGGATACCTGTCGGTGGCATGTCGGACTCGAACCGACTAAAACCGCACGCCGTCTCGGGTACCAATAGCCGGGGAACCAGGTATACCCTAGAAAGGAAGTCCCTGGTGCAACAATTATATACCCTGTCGAGCGCAGCACAGTTTGTTTGGGAGAGAGGAAGATAACACAACCATATATACAGTAGAATGTTTTGTTTGTAATTAATATAGTAGGATACAATCATGGTAGCTATATATGTCATGTATTTTAAATTATATAATCATTATATTAAACCTTTAATACCACAACATGTACCATCCCATTTATAGCAAATATATAATTTGAATTTGAATTATTGATATTTATCTTTTCATAATTTTAATATTGATTTAATAGTGCATAAAAGAAATAAAATATTGTCCGTTATTTATTCAATTCAGTTATTATTTTAATTATTTGATCTATTAATTATAATTATTTTATTAGTCATAATTATATTTTAATTATTAGAAAAATAAAGAAGAGGCCACTATTATTTCATCCTTCTAAATTTTCATTTTGTCTAATCTATAGTAGTATGTGTATAGAATAGTAGGATAGTAGAACTATGATCGCTAGTTTTTTTTATGGAATAAAGGGCAAATGAGCAGACGGGTCACCTGATGGAAAGCGACTACCGCTGCCCATGAACGCCTGCAACTCAGGAGTCACAAGCGCGTTGCCAGCCGTTGAGGAAGGAGTACGGAGTAGGGATGGTTTAATATATGATTGGATGGTTAAATAACGGCTCTCGAGTTTGGGCTCAGCTTATATGATATTTGTCCAACAGATTGAGTTTGGTTTTGAGAATGATGTTCTGGTGACGATGTTCTCCAAAAGGTGGAGAGTGAAAACGGATGGATGTTTACTTTTTTACTTGGTCAATTCAGTTTTTAGTTAAACTATGACTATAATATATCAACGGCTTTAACTGATTGTTATTATTTGTTCCAGATGAAATGGCGACTGGCAGGTGGCATGAGCATACAGCTTGCAGCAGCCGTATTCTGCATGCTGCCACTCTTCACGTCATCTACAGGAGATATAAGTAAGTCTTTATTTAGTGCAGATATTTGAGTTTCTGTTTTGAAATAATTTGCCATGGAACATAAAATCCAGTCCAAGATTTTTAATAGAACTATTTTCATTCATGAGTATGACTGTACTGAAATTATTTTTAAATTGCTCGGTACCAGCACTATTTTCTAGATAATGATACCATTAAAAAAAATATCTTATTACATGTGAATAGTCAAAATCTGCGTAAGTACCTACCCTTTCCCGAATTTTATTTGGATTCGGTGAAATAATATGCTTATATATCTTCTATCCTATTCTCTCATTCGTCTTTTCACTACTTACATAATGTCAGTCTCTCTCTCTTTATCAGACACTAACCTTTTTTAAGTTGTCCTCTCCACAAATACCCATCAATTTCCGTACAAAAAACTTTATTTTCCACATCGCTCATCCCTCCACTTTGTATTTCCATACCACTAAAGTCAATTGCTTCGAAATATTCAAAATCTAAGAATAAAATGTCTATGACTTACAGTTTTTTGTTTCTATTATTCCACGGTAACTTAAGAATAATTATTGTACAGTGCTATGCATTATCTTCTCATTATTTAACATCTCTATATTAGTTTGATTATATATTTCGGTCGTTAGCCCTTTATATGATTCATTTCTATCAGTAACAGCCACCCTAAAGTTACTTAATATATGCTTTGCTGATAAACGTGTCACCAAAGATTAATTTCATCCAGCCCTCGCATTTAATTAGAATGCTTATTGAATTAATTATATAATAATTCAATAAATTTCTCTTAAAATATGATGAGGCTGTACCTCATTATCATAATTTTCCCGTTAAGCTGAGTGAGGGGATATCGATAATTTATTTTGGCCTCACAACCAAAATACATAATAATATAAATTAAGACTTTGATGAGATAATATATTATAATATATCTAAAATAAGAGTATAATTATATTATAATTAATTAATTATATATAAAATATTGAAGGCCATGTTGGTGGAGTGGTTCAATTCCCACCCAGGACACATGATTGTGCGATGAGCACGATATCTATAATGTATATTTATAAAGATATTTATATACATATATATCTATGTGTTTGATGTGATGTGTTGTATATGTGTATGTATATGTATGTAGTGAACCGTGTATATTTTTATATATTACATGTCATAATATGTAATCTCTGTGCACCTACCTTATATGATTTCTACACCACCCAAAGGTTGACTGGAAGAGAATGCCTTGGGCATTAGTCGGCCGATGTACAAAAGTGCATAAAGTTTGAAATATATATTTTAATTTTTATTTTTTTATTTCCATTAAAAACAACTATCATAACAGGTTTAACCCAATGCGATAGTGTTATACCATCTACTTATTTATTATAAGAAATGATTCTTGATGCTGTTATGCTGCGCAATATTATTTAGAAATCTAAAGGTATGTTTATCAGCAGTCAGTTTACCATAGTGTGTGACATGTGTAAGTTTAATATTATTTTATTAAAATCATGTTGTAGATGCACCGTCGGTTATACATTTTAAGTAATTATTCTCATACGTAATTACGTACTATCACTACCCCTTCTAGTAATAATCTTCTATTAATCTGTTAAGGACATCACGGCACATCAAGAGCAAGAGGCTGGCGGGGCGGGGTACAGCCATCCGCTGACGTCACTGCCAACAACACAGTCAGCAACATCACTGCCCAACTGGGCGGTACTGCTTATCTACATTGCCTTGTGGGACACCTGAGCGAAAGAGGCGTAAGTAATTACTACTGGTCAAATGATTAACATCATCTATAATATCACTTTTAAGTATTTTAAGTACAAATTTCATTGCATTTTACAATTTTGTGTATTTTTTCTTTTATATTATTTTAACGTGGAAGAGCGAGAAAACCAGTATTGAGCAATTTTCATTCTTTTATTGCTTTTCACCGAGTGATTGAGGTTACCGAAGAACAACCTCCTGCTTCAGGGAGGGGGACTCAAAAGGCAACTGAAAGGGGCGACTCGCAGAGTTACTCTTTTAAGTTGCAGGTGGCTATAAGATAAAAACAAAAATAAAAATACTCATAATTGTCTAGCGAAAAAAACTAAAATATAGTCTGAATAAAAACTTTTGGGAATATTTATTAAAGATACACAATTTCATTAGCGTGTATATTTTGAAAATACCTACCAGTTTCAAGCAGATAAGGGGTGGAAATAGCTTCCGCATCCCCGTCATGTTTGAAGTCAGATTTTGCTGGTTCAGCTTTTTGTTCCACGTCATAGGTGTAAGCTTATTACGGTCTATTGGCTACGTAAAACTTTGTGATGATGTTTAAAATAACTTAAAACATGTACTTAACAACATATACTTAACAACAATTTGTCTTGTGTCTGGGATTAAAGCTAGGACCATACTATCGCCTAGCAATAGAAGCGTCAACTTAAAACACGCGACTAAATGAGCAATAAAGACGTAATATTCAATTAAATTATTTAAAAGAAGTTTCTGTTAAATATAACATTGTAGGAGTCTCCAACTTTTACAGAAAATAATAACTGTACTTAAGATTCATAACGAACTTTGTCGAACGTGATGAATAATAAAATAATGAACTTGGTAATTAGAAAATCATGACGAGTTGCGTGCGTACAACTTAAGGTAGATGACTTCCTGAGTGAATTACATATACACCTTCAGACTTTTATCCCTTTAGATTTAGAAGTAGTGGGAAGCGAATATGTTTATTATGCAGCTGATTAACTTTAGTATCACGGCGTGTAAATCATGCGAATAAATTACCTGAAGAAGCATCTTTAACTAGGCTTTTTATCACGTTTATTTAAATGCCTCAAGTCTTGTGTTTTCTATTCTAATTAGAGACATATTTATAATTCACTGGAATAACTTAAAGGGTCTCCAAAGTAATAAACTAGCTTTTACAAATAAAGTGATTAATCTAATTTGTAGTTTCGAAACATTGATGCGGTGTATCTAAGATAGTAGTAACTTTGATCAGTAATCCACAGAGTTAATATATATTAACTTAGACGAAGTAGACCCTTGCTTTCTGTAACCCATGTAAATGTATTAGGTAAGCCAAGTTGGACAACATACCTATATATAACTTCAATATGTTCAGGCGATTAGATTTCAAACAAAGTTAGAACTGAACACAGCTGAGGTGCACATATCTTCGGAATAAACAAAGCATCTTAAATGTGATCGTTGTTTACTTTCTCTCATAGCTTATTAACACACATGAAAACTTTTATTAAGCAATGCATGATCGTGATACTTAATTTCCTGGTCTGGGAGTTATTTTTGCAGTATTTGAATGTCGCGGAAGACAAATGAATGTTAAAGAGACTCTTGTTATAATATTAAATTTAAGAGGCGCATTGTATTTTTTTTAAATTTAGTAGTATAAAACAGTTTACTACTTTTGAAGTACAACTTCTATTTAATGGCTACTTAGTAAAAGGTTATGTTTAATTTTATGTCAATCAATTAGACTCTCATCTGAGTTATAAAAAATCTATTTAAGTATTAATTTTTATAAATATAGCAACCTAAACTAGTTTTTTTTTATTACTAACTCTACCGAGACGTTATTTTTCGAAGCTTATATACCTATAGCATTTATTTTTAGAAAATCTAAAGAAACCTTTATTATTTTTCTTAAATTAAATGCTTTTCTCTTCGTTATTAAGCTCTCCTTGCTCAATCTAATTTTTTTTTCTTTAATAAGATATTTGTTGTTAAGTCTCTATGTACCCTCAATGATAAGGATTATATATGTATGTATGTATTAATTGTAAGATTCATCAACATTATCTTATTCATCCGTCTCCTTGAAGGGGTGAATGACAGTCTTCAACATAGGACTGCCGTAGTGTCACGGTACCACGAATATAACTCAAAATACCATCTAGAAGTTAGGAGATGTTACTGGTATATTAATCTCTAATGCTATATTCTCCCTCCACAGCAAGTGTCATGGATCAGAAAAAGAGACTGGCATATACTGAGCTCCGGCAAGTTTACGTACACCAATGATGAACGGTTTCAGGTAACATTTTAAATATTCTTTTAATTTTAAGTAAAAAGTGATTAGGATATAGATACACCAGCTTCTTGGCATATTCTTTTTTTTCGATTTAATACTGTAGAAGATTGATCTTTGATCATACTATGGTTATATTACTGTTTTTTTTTTTTTGGTACCTGATTATAACAACAAAAATTTTAGAAGCATTTTATATCAGTGTCATTGCGACCTCATTCCAGTCTTCATTATATATTTTTTTCTTTTAGAAAATCACCTATACAGATAAAATATCCTTATAGCCAAATCATTAGTTTTTCCAAGTTAAATTTTTACTTTAAAAATAGTTACAAATATAACAGCCGCTTGTTTATACTTTTTAAATGTTCCGATGAATATAATTTATCTTCTATTTCTAAAAACTTAACCTTAACTTAAAGCTTTTATCCTCAAACGTTATCAGTACCACCTACAGTATACTTTGATTTTTATTGCAGTAAAATCTAAACAAGATTTTGAGAAACAGACAGAAAACAGAGAACAAGTTACTGATGTATTGTGTAGCCTTTCCCTGCACCAGATACTAAACTCTGCATAAACATAGAACACAGTAGGAGCCATAGATATACATAGCGAGAGCCATTGTAGGCCGTGCCCGTTATCTGACGACACACGAGTTCGCAAGAACCTTGGAGTAGAAACTTACTCAAGCATGTATGCGATATCCTTCTGAATGTGTGCCGTGCACTATCGCCGTACAACACTTTGTAGGGCAGCACAACGGTGTTTATAACTTCTATGTGTTGTGTTATGAACTTTGTTCGCTGTTTTTTCATCCCGTGGTGTTTTGAGAATATCTTTTATTGTGATGAATTTTAGTATAATTGGAGCACTTGAAAATAATGATTAAAATAATATAAATAGACCTGTAAAAACAACCACAACCCACCGAATACTAAGTTTCTTGCAGTTCTTTTAAAGAATTTGCCTTAAACTTTTCGTACAGTCTTAATTTCATTTAACACGTAAAATTCAGTATGTTTTAATATGAATTTCTACTCGATTTCTATAAGTTCTAGTGTCAAAAAATAACATGCGAAAGAAGAAAAAGGTACTTGTAGCTTTCTCTCTATTAAGTACCAGTCATACAAAAATGATAAAAACTCTAAACTGTAATCCTAATCTGTAAAAGAACAAAATTTACATTTTCAATAAATACAATAAGTGAAATAAAATATGCTTCTAAATACATTAGAGATTATGAGTTTTCTTTTCAAGACACGCAAGCAACTTAAACAAAGTTTAAAAAAAAACAAAAGTACATGTTTTTTTTAATCAAGCTCGCTTTTAAAAAAAATATTATTTAATCTAACAATAAAAGTAATAGAGTCGTGTTTTTTACAGGCGATTCTAAGGTTACTGATAAACAGATGCCTAATATGTACGCAGTTATATTTCAAAATGTTTGTATATCCTGTTGCATTTGTAGTTTAGTATAAATATTCTGTAAGGATACTTTGGTCTACCTATATTCATGTAAAATTAATTTTAACCTCCAAATACCGTTCTACCAATCTTGCATGTTTATGAAATTTCCCCTTTTTTTTCTGTGCGGAACTCCCCTCGGATACCACCCACCAGTGGGTGATTATGTCGGACTCGAACCGACCAAAAACCGCACGCCGTCTCCAGGTACCAGTAGCCGGGGAACCAGGTATATCCTAGAAAGGAAAGCCCAAGTATAAAGACGTACCTCAGGCCATCTGCGGCTTATAGATGACCCCTCCTGTGTGGGAACCCGGATGTTCCCTTCCTGCTCAGAAGGGCGCGCGCTCCGTAGCTCGTCGCGCCATTACCCACCCCGGCCTGCTTCTGCTAGAGTGTCAGATGGCCTCACCAGTCACCCTCAGGCCTGCGCTTATGGAGGACGGAGGTCGGTCTGCGACCTCCGGCGCCCGAGCCGTCTGCGGTACCTGGCCCGGTCTCGGGCCTTTTATGAAATTTCCCCTAACGCAAGAAAGTACATCATTGTACCAATTTTCATACAAAATAGGGGTAGAAAAATTTAGGGAACGTGAAAAGAGCTATACATGGGTCTAGTATGTAATTGTCATGGTAGAAAACTTTACACAATGACAGTTTAAATTATACCATGCGGTTGAGGAAAGAAAAATTTGTTATGCGGTATGTCCGACCACCGAAAAATATCTAACTGGTTTTAATGTGTCCTAAAATATTAAATATTGCATATATTTACATCGTCTACAATTTTTTTTAATAATTACTTTTAAGAATTTATTTGTAAGGGAACCAGTTCACTTCGTATCGTCTGAAAACGGCAAACTCACTTCGACCAGCTGCCAAAAGTGACATAAACTATGTCACTTTTGGCAGCTTCTACAAAGTTGAGTAGCTCCTATTTGAGCAGGAATCCTATGCGTTCTTCCTCTGCCTCGTCCTCTATTAGGTAATGTGTATTGTATTAGACATATATCTATCTATTTTACGTAAATATATAGACATATTTAACATGTAAATAATAAACAACGCAGTTATGATATGACACAATTCTTAATTTTTGTACAATTATTTAAACAAAATAATAATTAAAAGTTTATATTTATAGTCATTTAAAAATAAACAAATTTTTGTTATCTATAGAAAGATTACCGCTACACAACATAGCGCGTTGTTCAAACAACACATTTGTTCATATTAACTACAAATTATCCTCCTACAGTATAATAGCTATGATACCAATATAAAGGCTTACTTATATATAAATTCTAATTGGTGTATAATACTCCACCCGGGAAGCATTATCGGCCAGCACCGTTGTCAATGTCCACTAAATTGTTCCAAAATTGGCCAGCCGCAAAATTAACGCCCTAAAATACTAACGAATATGCGATCTAGACCACGTTCTGGCCCAATTTAGGCGCAAATGTGTCCGAATTACGGATACTTCGGTCATCATTGAAATTTTGCGAAATGTACCCAATTGTAATTATTTTAGAATTACAAAGCATCTTTGCAGAACATGGTCGCGTTAATTAAATAAGTCCCTAATTTAGTTATCTACATTTTCACCGAAATTCATGTAATGCCGCCATCTCATTTGATCAGCTATTAATTTGAACAGATTCTCTCGGCTATCCGGTTTTTTTATTGGCTATTATGTTTTCTTGAAAGCGAGTAGAACTTAGATATTAAAAGTTCATGACACGCGAACGACTAAGAGTGAGTGTACTAAATATTTATTATAACTATATTTAATTTTCAATTCATTATAATTACTTAACTTAATATGTTTGAATATAAAGATTCAAAGGATACGTGAAACGAGGGATGAAGCTAAAACCCTTTTTCAAGTCTTTGAATTCAAAAAATCGCCTTTCACTCAAACCCTTGGGCCTTAAAACTTATACAGAATATAAAGCAGGCTTTTCAGGGAGCCTCTAAAAATCATAAACACAACTTTGTAAAAAACAGCTGACTCATTTTTTTACATCGACGCTGGCATAAAAACTCCTTTCTGCAGAAAAAATCGTATCACCGGTTGGGTTGTTTCGACCCCGTGTCGTCATTGGCGCGTCGTTTCTGATTTCTGTCGAGTCAGCCAATTGGGACCTAGTCTAGAATTCTAGCCAAAGTCACAACGATACTGTCAGACAGAGTTCTGCCGACGTCATCTTTGGTAAAGGTAGATAACATTTGGTTTGCTCAAAGTTTGTAATGATATCTCTAGAAGCGGATTACCGTTTTTGAGGATGACTAGTTATCGGTAAGCACCAAAACTTTTGAATTATTTTTCTCAATGGAGAAGATACTAACGGGCCAACTGTGTATTCTCAGTAAATTGTAATACAATTTCACACCTTCGTACAAGTATTTAGCAAATTTAAAATATGTTATTTCAGTATGTCAGTAAAATGCGCCACAGATAAAAGTTTTTGTTAAAAAAAAATTGGCCTTCTTTTTATAATTAATCTTAACACTCAATAATGTTTCAGAAGTAAAATTCTTACCAGCCATTTGTTTTTTTCGTGTAGAGAGCGTTAGAAGACCTAACGTATCAATAATTTACACATACACTAAAATAATGCTTTCTTTCCGCTGAGGAAGCAGAGATATTTCCATTTGCTTCTGTGATTACATCCTTTCCTACTTTCCCTACTGACAGAAATTTAGCTGTAGATGGTATCTGATAGATCTATAGACAGTAATAATATTTGAATGCTACACAAGAAGCGTGGTTTCATTATGGGGGGTCGTAGTTTGTACGTCATGTTTAGTGTAACTTGATAATTTTGCCCTAAAGATGTACACATTTTGGAAGTTGTACTCGTACATGACAATTTAAAATTAATTATCTAGGGGTAATTATTGCCGAATTAAATATATTGTAAAGCATGCAATGTCTCAGACATCACCTTTAAATATATGTATGTAAACTTTGTACCTATAAAAAAAAAATCAAGAATTTTGAGGAATCAACATTACTTAAACTACTCAGTACACTACTGACGCATGCTGACTCTTAAAACAAGCAATTGAGAATGTGTTAGCCAGACACAAACCTGTCTGGCCAGTATGGTATAGTAGACTTAAACCTGTAAGTGATGATGATGATGATGATGATGATGATGAATATGCATCTGTCTACCATTAATAAGCATGTATACATGTTTATTAAGTTTAACATATAAGTACTTGTGTGAAGCAACAAAATAGGGCAAAACCTTACTCCGTTCCTTTTATAACATTTTCTTTTAATTTCGCAAAACAAAACTTCATTCCTTTTGAAAATAATTTACCGGTATCAAAAATTTGTTGATTTAACATTTTTATCTTTTCCCCTTCCTTTTTGTCCAATTATTATGACTCGTTACAGAGTTTTCACAACTTTTTCGCATCATTAAAAATTCCTCGGAATTCGTTAGGAAGCGAAGCGATCGACGAATCATTTGGCAGTTCCATATTTCAGCAGCTTTTGTGCGTTGTACAGTTTTCTTTGCTCAAAATTAATGAATAAAATCATAATTTTAATCTGCTTGCTTTATATAATGATACCATTTTTAGTTTAGTAAACAAGAAATCAATTTTAATTGGAATAAGTCTCATGGTGATGGATTAATATACTTTTGCTGTAGTGTAGTGTGTTCATTTAAAAATAATAATCAAATTCTTGGATAAAACCTAAGATGCCAAATCTCATTTAACAAGTTTTTACTTTTGGGGGCAACTTGAAACATTAAGTGAAGGATCGCCCAAAAATGTTTAGGACTTGATTTCAATCATGCATGAACTTTTTATTTTCTTTGGTTTATTTATTTTCACATATCTTGTGAAATCTAGCCTATCTGCCCTATCTAGTCTATTTAAGTAGTTAGGAACTGTTCAAATAATTTGGCTGTTAATACACTCAAATTAACTTTCATCCGAAAGGGTTTACTTATGTTTCCTCTGTTAAAAAGTTCCTAAGGATCTTTAAAAGAAATTTTACTACCTTAACTCTTCCAAGAACCTTTACTTATACCTTAGTATTGTAAAAATATACTTAAGAAAAAACGGTTACACGACTATTGATAATATTGAGATGCGTATCTAAATGGTTTAGGTCTTCTGTAATAATATCTACTGTGGTGTTTTTAAACGAAGACACTTCTAAATGAAGACAAGTTTAGAACAGAAAGTATCTTGGACGTTTTTATTTTTTGCCAGTGCCTAATGACCTGTGATAAATACTATTGTTAGGTGTATGTTTATATCCTGACTATTTAGTTTAACTGTTACTTTAAATTTTCTTTGAGAACATTGTTTTACGTGGGAGAGCCACGCCTCGTCGCATTAGGAGTGGCTCGTGGCCGGACTGATAACCGGAATGGTAACCGGACTCATAGAAAACATAGCTGTTTAGCATGTTTTCGTTGCTTTACTGTGATTGAAGTAAACGAAACTCAACCCTATCCTTCCTCCTAATTCTGCGGGAAGACAATTACACGACTGAGTTGCAGATGTCCATGAGACGTGGGAACGTCGCAAAAAAATTCACAAAATAAAGCTTATTAATTTTTTCGAAGTTTAACAATTCAATACTAATTTAATGATTATGTTCTTTTATTTCTTATTAGAAGGCTAAAAACGTCATGTCTCGACCCTTGGAACAAAGCAGTAACCATAAACGCGAGTGAAAGTACGACAGACTGCAGACTGGTATTAAATCAACAGCTATTATTAGTCCACTGCTCGACATAGGCCTCTCCTTAAAAATGAAGTTTTGGCCTGCTATAGCACGCAGGCTGGTATACTACCTCCTTATAATTGAACGTATTTGCTTGCAGGTGCTGCATGGCGAAGGTTCAGAAGACTGGACGCTACAAATCAAGTTCGTACAAAAACGCGACAACGGCACATATGAGTGTCAGGTGAGAATTACTGTTATTGTCCAACTTTGTCCTAGTAGCAGCGAATTGCGACTCCTGTGCTATATTTTTCTCTGGTTATTTCAGGCGTAAATTATTTTGTAACAGAGTATAAAACATACAACCGAAAGAACTGCAGTATTGCTATAAATAATTAAAACAAATGAAGCCAGCTACAATTTTCCACTAGAAATATTTATTTGTTTGTTCGTCATTGGCTATTGAGAAATGTTTTCATTTTCGGAATTTTGTGCAATATATTTAATTCATATATCAATACAATAAACTGTATAGTTTTGGAGTTTTTAATGAACATTATTTTATAATTTTAACTGAATAATTTTATAATAATTGAATAAGTTCTCATTTTTAGGAAGCAAACTATCTTTTTTTTTAATTTCTAACTAAAAGTTAGAAATTAAAAAAAAAACTGTTTTTTTTTAATTGATCTTTTCACAAAATCGTGATTGAGGTGCCATCAGCTATTATGAACAACATTTATGAAGCGATCCTCGACCTAAAAAAATGTTCAAAAATGAAAATTTCGACAACATTTCACGCAAAGATAGATTGTGTTTTTGATTACCATATATGAGCATGAAAACTGAGTTCCAACATTGTTGGAACGAGCGTACCGCATCAGACATCGAATGAGTTTTCCATACCATATTTTTCATGGTATGAGGCCTGTGACGTTCGATATTTGAAGTAGCTAGAGATGTTATGAAATCGAGCGATGAAAGCAAAATTGATTTAACATTTACGATGATTTTTTTGGTTTTAAATAAATGTATCGGTTCAATTATTCATCGCTTGGAAAGTAATTGAATTTTGATTTCAGATACATTCAGCTTTATAAATATCCACATAAAACATGTTATCTCTACGCTTTCTTTAACTTCTTTACATTTGACTTCAATAGCTATTTTCTATTAGAAAACAACATCAGGTTATTTTAAGTGAATTCCCCCCAAATATTCATCCCACTTACAAATTGGAGAACAAAGCTAAAAATAGGTAATTCCGTTTCTCCTATTGTCTTGCTGCCACGTTACACTGTGCAATCTTCTTCCATCTTTAATAACACTTTACAAGTTCTCATTGTCCTACAATAGACAGAATCCACACAATAAACTAAATAACTCTCACCTTGGACACGCTGGTCCTAAAACACCTATATTTATCGCAGAACACCTATCTCCGAGTAACAAGTCTTTGCACGCCGCCGCTAGGCTGAAAGCCAGGGAAAAGGGGTACAGGTATGTCTGGGTGCGCAACGGTCGTATTTATGTTAGACAGAATGAAAATGCCGACAAAATTCTTATTAAAAATATGAGCACTGTACAGAGTATGGTTTAGTTTGCATTCCTGTAAATAAATTCAATGTATTCTTAGCTTAAGTTCTTTAAAATTCAAGGAGTTAAATGTATATTACCAAAATAGTCGTGGCCTACGTACAAAAACTCATAACTTCTTTCAGCAGATGTCTTGCGAAACATACGATGTTGTAATTTTAACCGAAACGTGGTTAAATGGTTCTGTAATGAGCACAGAGTTATTCGACAATAGATATATCGTATATAGGAGGGACAGGTTAGGAAGTAAGAGGGATGGCGGAGGGGTTTTGATTGCCATTTCAAAGAAAATATAAATCAAAGCGTATGCGTACGTGGGAGAGTCGTTGTGAGGACCTCTGGGTTGTTTTTGACGCTCCAATTGACAGAGCTATTAGCCGGGTAGCTCTGTGCGCAGTATATTTGCCACCCCCCGTGCAACGTGGAACGCTGGATTACTTTACTGACAATTGTAATTCTGTTTATGAACAGTGTGGATTATGTACGAGTATATGTATAGCAGGTGACTTTAACCTGGGTACTATCGACTGGAGTGTGGCTCGTGACTCTGCGACTGCCTATGTCACGTCAAGCCTTAACCAAATTTTATTAGATTACGTGCACATAAACAAACTCACCCAAACTAATAATATCCCTAATAAAAGTGGTAGAATACTAGATCTTATACTAACCAACTTACCTTCTTGCATCGTTACTGAGACAACGAACCTGTTAAGCAGAATTGATCTGTTGCACCCACCCTTGTTGCTTACCATAAGTACGAGTGCATATGCAGGATTGCCGTATAATAGCACAAACAGGAGGTTAAATTATTACAAAGCAGATTATGCAAGCATTAAAAAACGCTTGGACCAGTTGAACTGGACTGCATTGTTAAATGTTGCCCAAGGTGTCGATGAAATGGTTAATATTTTTTATGGAAAAATTGAAGAGATAATTGGTATTTGTGTTCCACTGTGTAAGGCTAAATCAAAAAAATTGCCTGTATGGTTTGACAAACCATTGGTAAAGGCATTAAAAGAGAAAAATAAGGTTAGAAGACGATATAAAATGTATAAAAACTCCATGGATAAACTTGAACTGGTCTTACTTAGTAAACGTTGTTCGGCACTAAATGTAAGGTGCTATAATGCTTATCATCGCCAGATCGAACGTGAAACTCTGTAAAGATCCTAACCGATTATGGACGTACATAAAACAGAAAAGAGGTGGAACTAGTTCACTGCCGGTAATTATGTCAGACGGTACTTCAACAACATCGGACGGTCAAGAAGTAAGTGAAATGTTCGCTACACATTTCTCCTCAGTATTTGGTGACACTGATTCTTCTACGCATAACTTCTTAGCATCAGATTATTTAGCACTAATAAATAGCCACTGTATTCCTCTAACTATACCAGTTATAAGCCCTGAATGTCTCATTACAAAATTGAAATCGCTAGACCACCGCAAAGGCGCTGGTCCGGATGGTATTCCTCCAATTTTTATATCAATGTGTGCGTCTCAATTTGCGTTGCCATTATCATTAATTTATAATAAGTCTTTATTAACTGGTATATTTCCCGACATGTGGAAGCAAGCGAAAGTCGTGCCAGTACATAAATGTGACGATAGTGACAACGTTATTAATTATAGACCTATCTCAATTCTGTGTACTTTTGCAAAAATATTTGAATCCTTTTTGTGTCCCCTTATTCAAAGTCACCTTAAACCGTACATAAGCAGCTCGCAGCATGGTTTTACTAGCTGTAGGTCAACATGTACAAACCTCGTGGGCCCTTTTGTGACACTCTAATGGGTCTATTTACGCAAAACGGGGAAAAAGACTTAAATGCGATTAAAATTAATTATCTAGGGTAATATTGCCGAATTAATATATTGTAAACAGCAATGTCTCAGACATCACCTTTAAATATATGTATGTAAACTTTGTACCTATAAAAAAAAAATCAAGAATTTTGAGGAATCAACATTACTTAAACTACTCAGTACACTACTGACGCATGCTGACTTTAAAACAAGCAATTGAGAATGTGTTAGCCAGACACAAACCTGTCTGGCCAGTATGGTATAGTAGACTTAAACCTGTAAGTGATGATGATGATGATGATGATGATGATGAATATGCATCTGTCTACCATTAATAAGCATGTATACATGTTTATTAAGTTTAACATATAAGTACTTGTGTGAAGCAACAAAATAGGGCAAAACCTTACTCCGTTCCTTTTATAACATTTTCTTTTAATTTCGCAAAACAAAACTTCATTCCTTTTGAAAATAATTTACCGGTATCAAAAATTTGTTGATTTAACATTTTTATCTTTTCCCCTTCCTTTTTGTCCAATTATTATGACTCGTTACAGAGTTTTCACAACTTTTTCGCATCATTAAAAATTCGCGAAGAAGCGAAGCGATCGACGAATCATTTGGCAGTTCCATATTTCAGCAGCTTTTGTGCGTTGTACAGTTTTCTTTGCTCAAAATTAATGAATAAAATAATAATTTTGCTTGCTTTCTGTAATGTTTAAATTTTTAAATGAGTACTTTATCTGTAATTTAACCTATAAAGTAAACAAGAAGTTGATTTGAATTGGAATAAGTCTTATAGTAATAGGCTAATATACTTTTGATGTAGTGTAGTGTCATTTAAAGACATTATAATAAAATACTTTAGTAAAACCTAAGATGCTAAATCTCATAATTGAATCACTGAGTTTATTACATTTAACAAGTTTTCACTTTCTTTGGTTTATTATTTTCACATATCTTGCCGCCCTATCTAGTCTATTAAAGTAGTTAGGCACTGTTCAAATAATTTAACTGTTAATACATTCAGAGTAACTTTCATCCGAAATGGTTTACTTATGTTTCTTTTGTCAAAAGTTCCTAAGGATCTTTAAAAGAAATTTTCCTACCGTTACTCCTTCAAGAACCTTTACTTATACCTTAGTCACGTAAAAATATACTTAAGAGAAAATGGTGACACGACTATTGATAATATTGAGATCCGTATCTAAATGGTTAATGTCTTCTGTAATAATATCTACTGTGGTATTTTCCTGGGAGAACATTGTTTTTACGTGGGAGAGCCACGCCTCGTCGCATTAGGAGTGGCTCGTCGCCGGACTGATAACCGGAGTGGTGACGGGACTCATAGAAAACCTCATAAAAAGCTGTTGAGCATGTTTTCGTTGCTTTACTGTGATTGAAGTATACGAAACCCAACCCCATCCCTCCACCTAATTCTGCAGGGAGACATTTACACGACTGAGTTGCAGATGTCCATGGGACGTGGAATTGTCGCAACAATTTTCACAAAACAAACCTTTATAATTATTTCGAACTTTAACAATTCAATACTAATTTAATGATTATGTTCTTTTATTTCTTATTAGAAGGCTAAAAAACGTCACGTCTCGACATTTGGAACAAAGCAGTAACCATAAACGCGAGTGAAAGTACGACAGACTGCAGACTGGTATTAAATCAACAGCTATTAATAGTCCACTGCTCGACATAGGCCTCTCCTTAAAAATGAAGTTTTGGCCTGCTATAGCACGCAGGCTGGTATACTACCTCCTTATAATTGAACGTATTTGCTTGCAGGTGCTGCATGGCGAAGGTTCAGAAGACTGGACGCTACAAATCAAGTTCGTACAAAAACGCGACAACGGCACATATGAGTGTCAGGTGAGAATTACTGTTATTGTCCAACTTTGTCGTAGTAGCAGCGAATTGCGACTCCTGTGCTATATTTTTCTCTGGTTATTTCAGGCGTAAATTATTTTGTAACAGAGTATAAAACATACAACCGAAAGAACTGCAGTATTGCTATAAATAATTAAAACAAATGAAGCCAGCTACAATTTTCCACTGGAAATATTTATTTGTTTGTTCGTCATTGGCTATTGAGAAATGTTTTCTTTTCCCGGAATTTTGTGCAATATATTTAATTCATATATCAATACAATAAACAGTATAGTTTTGGAGTTTTAATGAACATTGTTTTATAATTTTAACTGAAGAATTTTATAATAATTGAATAAGTTCTCATTTTTAGGAAGCAAACTATCTTTTTTTTAATTTCTAACTAAAAGTTAGAAATTTAAAAAAAAAACAGTTTTTTTTGCTGTTTTTTTTTTAATTCATCTTTTCACAAAATCGTGATTGAGGTGCCATCAGCTATTATGAACAACATTTATGAAGCGATCCTCGACCTAAAAAAATGTTCAAATATGAAAATTTCGACAACATTTCACGCAAAGATAGATTATGTTTTTGATGCCATATATGAACATGAAAACTGAGTTCCAACATTGTTGGAACGAGCGTACCGCATCAGACATCGAATGAGTTTTCCATACAATATTTTTCATGGTATGAGGCCTGTGACGTTCGATATTTGAAGTAGCTAGAGATGTTATGAAATCGAGCGATGAAAGCAAAATTGATTTAACATTTACGATGATTTTTTTGGTTTTAAATAAATGTATCGGTTCAATTCATCGCTTGGAAAGTAATTGAATTATGATTTTCAGATACATTCAGCTTTATAAATATCCACATAAAAAATGTTATCTCTATGCTTTCTTTAACTTCTTCACATTTGACTTCAATAGCTATTTTCTATTAGAAAACAACATCAGGTTATTTTAAGTGAATTCCCCCCAAATATTCATCCCACTTACAAATTGGAGAACAAAGCTAAAAATAGGCAATACTGTTTCTCCTATTGTCTTGCTGCCGCGTTACACTGTGCAATCTTCTTCCATTTTTAATAACACTTTACAAGTTGGCGATCAAATAATGTAGAAATTCAATGTGTGCCTGAGAACAACAGAGAAAACTTGATACATGTTGTAACTAATATATCTAAAGTTGTCGGCTGCAATGTTGAAGACAAAGATATTATTAATTGTACTAGAGTGGCTAAACTTGACAACAAAAATTCTCGGCCACGTTCAATCGTTGTACAATTGGCTTCTACGAGACTCCGCGATCAACTTCTCGCGTCCACATTGTCCTACAATAGACAGAATCCACACAATAAACTAAATAACTCTCACCTTGGACACGCTGGTCCTAAAACACCTATATTTATCGCAGAACACCTATCTCCGAGTAACAAGTCTTTGCACGCCGCCGCTAGGCTGAAAGCCAGGGAAAAGGGGTACAGGTATGTCTGGGTGCGCAACGGTCGTATTTATGTTAGACAGAATGAAAATGCCGACAAAATTCTTATTAAAAATATGAGCACTGTACAGAGTATGGTTTAGTTGCATTCCTGTAAATAAATTCAATGTATTCTTAGCTTAAGTTCTTTAAAATTCAAGGAGTTAAATGTATATTACCAAAATAGTCGTGGCCTACGTACAAAAACTCATAACTTCTTTCAGCAGATGTCTTGCGAAACATACGATGTTGTAATTTTAACCGAAACGTGGTTAAATGGTTCTGTAATGAGCACAGAGTTATTCGACAATAGATATATCGTATATAGGAGGGACAGGTTAGGAAGTAAGAGGGATGGCGGAGGGGTTTTGATTGCCATTTCAAAGAAATATAAATCAAAGCGTATGCGTACGTGGGAGAGTCGTTGTGAGGACCTCTGGGTTGTTTTTGACGCTCCAATTGACAGAGCTATTAGCCGGGTAGCTCTGTGCGCAGTATATTTGCCACCCCCCGTGCAACGTGGAACGCTGGATTACTTTACTGACAATTGTAATTCTGTTTATGAACAGTGTGGATTATGTACGAGTATATGTATAGCAGGTGACTTTAACCTGGGTACTATCGACTGGAGTGTGGCTCGTGACTCTGCGACTGCCTATGTCACGTCAAGCCTTAACCAAATTTTATTAGATTACGTGCACATAAACAAACTCACCCAAACTAATAATATCCCTAATAAAAGTGGTAGAATACTAGATCTTATACTAACCAACTTACCTTCTTGCATCGTTACTGAGACAACGAACCTGTTAAGCAGAATTGATCTGTTGCACCCACCCTTGTTGCTTACCATAAGTACGAGTGCATATGCAGGATTGCCGTATAATAGCACAAACAGGAGGTTAAATTATTACAAAGCAGATTATGCAAGCATTAAAAAACGCTTGGACCAGTTGAACTGGACTGCATTGTTAAATGTTGCCCAAGGTGTCGATGAAATGGTTAATATTTTTTATGGAAAAATTGAAGAGATAATTGGTATTTGTGTTCCACTGTGTAAGGCTAAATCAAAAAAATTGCCTGTATGGTTTGACAAACCATTGGTAAGGCATTAAAAGAGAAAAATAAGGTTAGAAGACGATATAAAATGTATAAAAACTCCATGGATAAACTTGAACTGGTCTTACTTAGTAAACGTTGTTCGGCACTAAATGTAAGGTGCTATAATGCTTATCATCGCCAGATCGAACGTGAAACTCTGTAAAGATCCTAACCGATTATGGACGTACATAAAACAGAAAAGAGGTGGAACTAGTTCACTGCCGGTAATTATGTCAGACGGTACTTCAACAACATCGGGACGGTCAAGAAGTAAGTGAAATGTTCGCTACACATTTCTCCTCAGTATTTGGTGACACTGATTCTTCTACGCATAACTTCTTAGCATCAGATTATTTAGCACTAATAAATAGCCACTGTATTCCTCTAACTATACCAGTTATAAGCCCTGAATGTCTCATTACAAAATTGAAATCGCTAGACCACCGCAAAGGCGCTGGTCCGGATGGTATTCCTCCAATTTTTATATCAATGTGTGCGTCTCAATTTGCGTTGCCATTATCATTAATTTATAATAAGTCTTTATTAACTGGTATATTTCCCGACATGTGGAAGCAAGCGAAAGTCGTGCCAGTACATAAATGTGACGATAGTGACAACGTTATTAATTATAGACCTATCTCAATTCTGTGTACTTTTGCAAAAATATTTGAATCCTTTTTGTGTCCCCTTATTCAAAGTCACCTTAAACCGTACATAAGCAGCTCGCAGCATGGTTTTACTAGCTGTAGGTCAACATGTACAAACCTTGTGGCCTTTAGTGACACTCTAATGGAGTCTATTGACGCAAATCGGCAAATAGACGTAATATACAGTGACTTTAGTAAAGCGTTTGATAAAATTCCGCATAAAATGCTTTTTTATAAATTGGCGATGTATGGCGTCACCGGTACTTTGCTGAATTGGTTCGAGTCATATCTTGACAATCGTTATTACTTTGTGGCTGTCAATGGATTTAATTCGGACAAGCGTAGAATTATTTCTGGCGTACCGCAGGGCTCGCACCTTGGGCCAATTCTGTTTAATTTATACGTTAATGATGTCACTCATTGTTTCCGCTCATCTAATTGTTACATGTTTGCCGACGATCTTAAATTCTGTAAAACAATACTGTCTTTAAACGACGTGAAATTATTGCAAGAGGACATTAACAGACTTGCTGATTGGTGCAAAAACAACTTTATGAGCTTAAATACCAAGAAATGTTACCATATAAAGTTCACCAGAAAGCCATGCCCTCTGCCATCCATATATTATATCGGGACCGATGCAATTCAAGAAGTGACCGAAATAAAAGACTTGGGAGTGCTATTTGATAGCAAGCTTACATTCGTACCTCACATGGAAAATACCATTACACGAGCATCCAAAATGCTGGGATTTTTGCTTAGAAACGTAAGAGTTTTTCAATCGCACAATACAAAAATCATACTCTACAATTACCTCGTTTGTACTATACTGGAGTACTGTAGTACAGTCTGGCGACCACATTACTCTTGCCATAGCCTAAGGTTGGAGCGAGTGCAGAAAAGGTTTCTATGGCATTTGGCCGTTACCGCAGGAATAGCTCACAAAATAAAGTCGTACGATAGCAGATTGGCACACTTCAAAATGATTTCGTTACAGAAGCGTGGTATTATAATAGACGCTATGTTTATGTTTAAGTTATTACGAAATAAAATCGATTGCCCCGAGCTTTAGGCAAAATAAAATTTCGTACTCCCATTAGAAATCCCCGTGCACCTGTGACCCCGTTGTGTCCGCCACTTCGTAGAACCGTACTTGGTGCTAACTCAACCATACCTCGTCTTTGTAGAACCATAAATAGTTACTCTGCGGTCATAGATGTACACGCGGACTCGCTTGCCACATGCCGCAAAAGTATCACGAGTGCATTGTAATGTGTATGCTGTACGATTTGTAATCATTTATCAACCAATTAATGGTTGTAGCAAACTTTTTGATAGTAACCCTAATGTGAAAATTATTATTTTGTTTTAATGTGGCCTATGGCTACTGCATTAATCACTGTTTTGTTTGTTGTTGTGACTGTATAATTTCAATTTATCAGCTGTGAAAAATTTGTGCATGCTGTGCTTGCCTGTAATAGGCTACTATACTATTATGTAGCTTTGTAATGTAAAATAAAATTGTATTAGTATAAGTAGTTGTTGGTAAGTCTAATAAATAAATAAATAAATAAAAAGAAAAAAAGAACAACTCATGAAAATATGCAAAAGCACATCACAGCGACCGCATACAAAGTACACACACTCAGACGTGATTTGACGGGATGACGAGTTCTTCGCTTAGAAGATTTTTCTGTATGTAATACAGACTAGGTAGAAATATAAGCATTTTAGTCATGAAATACTTATTAAACGTATCAAGTTTTCTTAAATTAAATGTCCCATTATATGAAATATCAACAATATTTGATGATGATGATGATTTTGATTTTATTTCAAAACTAAACTGCGAAAAATGAC